CACACACACACACACACACACACACTATGTATATATATATTTTAAGGAATTGGCTCATGTGACTATGGGGTTTAGCAAGTCCAAAATCCACGAGACAAGCTAGCAGACTGGCGATTCATTTAAATTTGAAGTTACAGTTTTGAGGTTAAAGGCTAGAAACTCAGAATTTTTATGCTGCTATCTCAAATACCTTCAACCTCAGAAAACTTATTTTTGTTTCCTCTTTGGCCCTTCAACAGATTGGACGAGGCCCACCAAAATTATCAAGGGTAATGTGAAAGTCAAATGATTGCAGGTGTGAATCACATCTAAGATCTACGTACGCAGCAGCATGTAGACAGGTGTTTGACTAAACCATAGCCTAGCTAGGTTGACACATCACATGACCATTATTTGATCTAAATAATAGTGGTAGCCCAAAGTAGCAGGTTTTCTTGTGTTGCCTTGTTCTCCTTTCCTTTTTGGACACCTTAACTGTCTGATATCAACTCCACGCTGTCTTTAGAATGTGAGTTTCAGAGATCATGTCTGTACCATCCACAGTCTGGAACCACAGGTGGCCAAACAAAACAATATCCGATGTGTTTAAAAAAAAAAAAAGGAACAAAATGAATACTAGGGCAGAAGAAACGGGAAATCAGCATGAAGAAACATGACAAGAAGGACATAAAAGTGGGCAGGCAGGCATCCTGCCAGAGTTCGGCTGGGACACCTGGTGAGTGGTGAGATTTTCTCCTCTTGACAGAGGTGCCTGCCTACCAGGGACTGGAGGGAGCAGGGGTGGCTGTGAGTGTATTTCCCCCGCATTCCTGGGCACGGGAGATGGCGTTTACAGAAACTGGGGGTCTTAGGGGAAATGGGTGACTGCCAGACTCAGAACTTTTCCCATGATGACCTCATCTAGTCCAGAAAATGGATCCCACCCTCGATAGACCTAGAGGTACCAGTGGTGTTATTAATCAGAAGAGGCATCCAGGGGCCCAGGTTCTCTAGGCAGCCAGTGAAACCATTTGCCTGTGGCTGCTGCCCCCATGCAGCTCTGGTGATGCTGTGACCACATAGACCCTCTGCACCGCACTCTGCCAAATCTCTGACTCAAGCCTTCCCCTCTGTGGCTCACTCTTATCTCCAGTGGAAACTTCCCTTAGCCTGTCCATTAACGCCCCCTCCTGCGCACAGACCCGTGGAATGGAGGCAAAGTACCAAATGGAGTTGTACAAGCCCTACAGTTGAGGGGCAAGTGGGGAGAAGGTGAGAATAGGTGGAGGTGAAGGTGAGGAGGTGGAGGATACAGGTGGGGTTGAAGGTGAGGAGAGGAGACTCCAGGTGGAGATGAAGGTGAGGAAGGGATGTTTCAGGTGGAGATGAAGGTGAGGAGGGGAGGATCCAGGGGAAAATGAAGGAGAGGAGGGGAGAATCCAGGTAAGGATGAAGGTGAGGATGCAGAGGGTCCAGGTGTGCATGAATGTGAGGAAGAGGGGGTCCAGGAGGGGATGAAGGTGAGGAAGGGAGGATCCAGGTGAGGAGGCTGAGGGTCCAAGTGGGGATGAAGGTGAGGAGGGGAGGATCCAGGTGGGAATGAAGGTGAGGACACAGAGGATACAGGTGGGGAGTAAGGTGAGGAGGGGAGGATCCGGGTGAGGATGAAGATGAAAAGATGGAAGATACATGTGGGAATGAAGGTGAGAAGGGAAGGATCCAGGTGGGGATGAAGGTGAGGAGGCAGAGGGTCCAGGTGGTGATGAAGGAGAGGAGGGGAGGATCCAGGTGGCTATGATGGTGTGGAGGGGAGGACTGTGGAGCCCTCACGAGTAGTGTAGCTGTTGGGGTTCAGGTAAAGCTTGTGAGGATGCTGGTATCAACACAGTGGATCAGAAGGATGTAGGTAAAGGTACTGGTGAGGACCCTGATGAAGAGACAGAACACACATGTGAGGATGCAGGTGTAAAGAAAGCAAGTAGGCAAGCACTCAAGGGAAGATGCAGGCTCTCTTCAGACTATGTGCAGGTGCAGTGCAGGTGCAGGGGGACACGTGCCCCCTGGGCGAGGAAGCTAAGTTGCGGGTGGTCCACAGGAAGGAAGGAGTGGGCATCAGGTAGGTCTTCCTGCGGATGGAGCCAAGTTGCAGGGGAGGAGGCAGGGGATCACAGCTGCCTCTTTCCCTCTCTAAGACTCCCAAATTTCAGAGACACAGGAACTTTAAGTGAAGCTTTATTGGGGGGCTCTGGGGGGTCAGTTGGGACAGCCAAAGACAACCATGTTCTCAGTGAAGTTGGCCAGGTCTTGGCACTGCTTCTCATTCTCCTCATCTTGGCATTCGTCAACTTCTGGCCACAGCTCCACCCAGGTATCCTTCCCGATGATGTAGCTGACACTGGGGGGAGGGAGGCAGGTGAGGAGCATGGCAGGGGAAGCATGGGATGGGGTGACCCACCGTGGGGGCCATGCACAGGGCGGGCACTCACTTGGGTTTCTCTCCCCACAGGTCGGCAGAGAGGCCCCACATGAGGTAGTGTTTCCCTTCCTGCAGCCTCAGGGCTTCTCTGCACTTGATGTGGCTGATGAACCTGCGTTCCTGTCCAGGCTGCACCTCATCAGAGCCTGGATGGGAGGGACAGGGATGCTGAATGGGGGAAGGGAGGGACCCAGCAAGAAGGAAGTGGAAGACAGAAGACGGACTGCAGGGCTGACCTGATTTGATGACCTGCTCAATGACCATTATGTAATCGTCAAAGTCTTCTGACAGCTCCTTCTTGAGAAGCCGGGTCTTGTACACTGACGGGGGGAGGAGGGAAGCACAGCGGGGGGTCACAGGCAAGGGTGGCTGTGTGGCACCCTCACCTGCAAGCGCACCTGGCCATACGGTGTCTCCAAGCAGATACATGCAGGGTCACAGCCAGACGTGCCCCAGTCCCTGCCCCCCAGTAACACACCCACCACGCATGGTCCTACAACCACCATCTCACACAGCCACACACACAGCCACATGCACCCTCACAGTCACCCACACGGGGAGTCCTAGGCATAACCTCCCATCCACTGTCACCCGCAACCACTGTCTCATCTCTCCATGGCTCGGCACAACTACAGTGTCACACACACCACGGGGCATATGACCATGTCCACTCACACACTTGCACACACCCAGCACTCATTACCATGGATCCCCATGCAATCATGGCCCCTCACAACACATTTACACACGCGCGCTCACACACACACACACACACACACATCATTCACAACTACAATCTGAAGTATAGCCCCACGCACCCATGGGCACTTACAGCCAGTCACTCACACAACGACGGCTATACACAGTGTTGCTCACACACGCGTCCACTCACCGTAGTCGACTCCTGGCTCACAAGCCTTGTCCAGACGCTCGTCTAGGGTGACCTTTTCATCCACCTGGTGCATGAAGCAGTTCTCTGCGCGGTGGATGAGTGGGGGACATGCTTTCATCACACGTCTTGTCCAGGGCCCCCCACCCCTGGGCCCATCCCTCTGGCTGTGTACTGGGTGTGGGCTCAGAGCCCACTCGGGCCACCCCCATGGGAGGAGGATCTGGGGGGGGGTGTCCACCCCTTCCTGGCTCCTTTGCACCCACCCTCAGCACAGCGGCACATGTCCTTGTGACAGAGCTTGCTCAGTAAACCGTCTTCTTTGTCTGGGTGGTAGAACCGGATGCAATTCTCATCTGCGGGCAGAGTGGCAGGGAGGTGTCAGAGGGCTGTGGCCTCCAGCCCAGAGACCCAGGGGGCTCGGGTTCCCAACTGCAGTCCCTCAGACCTGGAGAGGCCAGGTCCCCAACCCTGGGGCCCTCAGATCCCCACCTCACAGAATCCCCGGATCCCCAGGCCCCCCTGGCCCTAGGGGGGCTGCTCACCCAGGTTGTAGTAGGAGTACACCTTGACCGACCCGGGCTGGATAAGGCCCACGTTGAAATACTGGTGCACTTTGAAGGTCAGACAGTCCTCTTGGTCATGTGAGATCTGGGGGAAGGAGGAGGCTGCTCAGTGGGGTACACGGAATGGAGCCCAGCATAGGGTACTAGAGGTTGGAGCAGTGGTGGAGAAACTGAGGCAGCAAGGTGGGATACGGGTAGGGAGCAGGAGTCTCTAGCAACAGATTTATGAGCACTTCAACACATCCATTTCCCGTTTCTCCAAGGCTCGCAGCTAGATTATACCTGTCAGCTTCCTTTCCTAGTTCAGTGTGGCCGTGTGATGGAGTTCTGGCCATCGGACTGCTATCTCTGCCCATAAAAACACCCATAGTTAACAGTATGAATTCTTCTTGAGGGTTGGAACCAGGAGGGCATAGTTGGTTAAATATCTGACTCTTTATTTCAGATCAGGTCATGATGTCAGGGGGTCATGAGTTTGAGTCTCACATCTGGCTCAAGGCTGACAGCTCGGAGCCTGCTTGGGATTCTGTCTCTCCTTCTTTCTGCCCCTCCCCTGCTTGTGTTCTTCCTCTCTCTCAAAATAAACATTTAAAAATTAAAAAAAACTTTTTGAGAGGGTAGATCTTAAAAGTTCTCATCACAAACACACACACACACACACATTAAAACTATGTGAAGTAATAGATTTGTTAAGTAAACTTATGGTGATGGCCATTTCCTAATATGCATCTACATCGAATCATTACATCATACACCTTAAACTTATAATAATGTTATATGTAAATGACATCTCATTTAAGCTGAAAAAATAAAGACAAAGAAAGAGAGAGAAGCAGAAATACATAGGCATATATATGTATACGTGATAGACAGGTGTATTTGGAAACTGTGTTTTACAGCTCTGCGATTTCCCTGTAAGGTTGAAACCCCAGCTCATGCACAATCCTCTTTTCTTCTAGAAAGGAGGTGGTCCATCAGAGGACTCTAAGATCCTAGGCATTGAGGAGCCCCAAGAAAGAACGTGCATGGATCCCTGAGCGACTGTGTGGAGCAGAAAACCCTTTCCATAGCCTCCCAACTGGACTTTACCTGAGTGGGAAATAGAACACTCTTGTGTTGGGACCCTCATATTCTCAGGAGGTTTATTACAGCAGCCAGTGTTACTTCTGCTGACTAATATGGGGTGAGGGGCCTTTGGGCATATTGGGAGTTAGCAGGGGGCATATGAGGATAGGAAAATGGGCAGGTGTAAGTAGGGGAGAGGAGGAAGCTCAAGTTTATGTTAGAGAGGAAGACAGGGAGAGAAGTTCAGATGGAGAGCAAATATGAAAAGAGAGAAATGCCAGGGGGTGTGGAGCAAGGAGAATGTTTTTAAGCTCTGAGCACTTTAGTTTTTAAATCCAAATGGCTCTTTTCAATGGTTGTTTAGGACTCTGATGAGAAGGTGGAGGAAGTGTTATATGAGGTTGGAACGAGAATGGTCAGAAGGTGAGCTGCTTAGAAAACATGACATGACCTTCATTGACCACCTTATTTTATATACCCCTTCCTCCACCACCCAGACACACCAGACCCCACATCCCCTAGCCCGGGCCTGGTGTGACCAGAGGGAGGCCAGCCTGCTGGAGGTCAAGTCCCAAAAGGAAGCCTTACCTTGTCCAGGTAGATGATGAGGGTGTTCTTATTGGAAAAGGCCTTGTTCATCTCATATTTAGAGATGTATCTGTCGATGCCATTGCTCAACTGGGGAAAGGTAGGACTTGTGAAAATCCTCCTGAGGCCTCTGCCCACAGATGCCAGCCCCCAAGGCCAAGCCCTTCATACCAGGTCAAGGTCACCAGTGTCAGGAGAAAAGCCAGTCATCATGGATATATCCAGGATCGACATGGTAGCATCCTTGTCTCCCAGGTACCTGAATAGGGAAGGGAGAGGGCAGTTGGGGCCAAGGATAGGGTCAGGCCTGGGGGTCAGTGTCTGGACAAGGGGGTCTGAACAGAGACTGGGGTTCCTGGCTCCCACTCAGAGGACAGAAGGATATTAGATTGTAGTAAACATACCCCAAAGGGAATAAAGGAAATGCAGTGTCATGGTCAAGGTGACTAATATCAGGCTCTGAAGCCCATTGCATGGGTTCAAATCCCAGCTTCATATGGCATTTGATACGTCACTTGACCTCTCCATGCCTTAGTTCTTCCAGAAAATAAAGACAAGAAAATGGTACCAATGTCTAGCTCAAAACGCCAGGTCCCCAGCACCAGGTTACAGGGGTTGTAATTGCATAAAGTAGAAATACAAATCTTGTCTCCAGCTCTTGATCCACCAATTATTGTGAAAATCACAGATGCACATCACAGTCAGTGACCAATCCCTTCACGTCTTTCAAAGTGTGTGTGATGGGTCACTGAGCAGCCTATGCAGTTCATGCACAGACAGCAAGGCCTGTGGTAGTGGCACTTCCTTATACCCAGGGATAAACCACATGACATTTTACAAAATTGGCCAATTGGTAGAGGGAACTGGCCAGCCAAGATGAAGCACAGCAGTGAAATGAAGACGCTGGAGGTAAAATTTGAATAGCACATAAACGGAGTTAGAGAAGAAACAGCAGACTGTGTGAATGTCACCCTTGCTGCCACTGGAGAGACTGGCTGCCTTGTGACATTGACGGCTCAAAAGATTAGATGTCAGAAGCTGGTGTAAGTTAGATGGGAGCATGACAATTCACTGGCGCAGGAAAAGTGCTTGCTTTATCCTTATCCCAAGTGATACAAACAGAAGGAAGAAGCACAGTACTTTGGTAAGTGTTTTACAAAGGAGAACAAAATATTACTCGTATCTCTGTGTTCTAATGTTTTAATTGACAGCATAATAAGCAAGTTCTCATGTTCCTGTAATTTTCATTTCTCTGTACCTTTCTAACTGGCAGGATGAGAGTTTTTGAGGTTGTGATAAATGCTCTAAAGGTCATGGAACAGTTGTAACTTCTCCCATTGATTTGCTAGGATTGCTTGTATCGTTTCAGCTTATGTGGCCGACGCTATTCTCCGGTGCCATGCAGGCTGGGGACTGCCTGGGGTGTCCACCTCCCGGCAGGTACTTCAGACAACACCAGATGCAAATGCGCTCTTAGAAAGGATTAGGTCTTGGAAAGGAGAAGTCTTGCTATCGACAGAGGAATGACCCCCAGTGATCCCTCACTTACCTGGTACAGATGTCAAGGATCATGGTGTCCAGGGCTCCCTGAGGCCTCTTGACTAGAAACACAGAGACAGAAAATGGGAGGGGGTGTCCCTGGGTCCCAATGCAGGAAGGGGGCAGACGAGAATGAGAGTGGGGGAAGGGTCACATGTAGGGTCTTTACTCTTTTACCGTCTTTAGAAGCTCTTCGTATATCCACCCTGAGGTCAAACTTCTTGCAGGTGTGTTTGATTTTGAGCTTGGCATGGTACGTTGTCACCACCTGGTGAGACAGCAGGGCGATGACGTGTCAGCCCACTTGAGTTGAAAAGATGGTCCTTCTGGGCCAGAGATGCAAGAGAAGGTGGGCCAAGCCGGTGTGTGTTCCTGTTCCTTACCGACAAGGTGCCTTGTCCTTTTCCCTTAGCTGTTACTACAAAGTCCTCATTTATCTTGGTCTGCAGGGTGGAAGGAGAGAGGAGAGAGGTGTTGGGAACCAGCCTTCTGGGAAACTCTGGCTGGTGTGGAGGGGGACAGCAAGGGTTTGGCTACACAGTTGTACCTCTGCTGACCGCTGGAGGCTAGCAGATTCCCAGAGGATGGTGTACTTGATGGCAGAGCTGCGGCTGGGTAGGTTAATGGACACATCCAGGTTCAGGTCCCTGTGGTCAGGGACATCCTTCTGGTATTGGGCCAAGGCTTGGAACACCATGAAGGTGGCCTAGAACCCATGAGAAAGAATGAAGGTGAGCCAGGAGACTGAGAAAGTGGTTTGAACCCACTGAGGAAGGAAGAGACTCATGTCAGAGGGAGGGGGGTAATGAGACGATAGTGTAGGAACCCCTACCCCAGAAAGATAAGGATAAGACACTGAGGACATGTCCTAGATTCTCCAAGAGACAGAGGCTTAGCCAAGAGCTTGGCCACACTGAGAAGGGGCCTAGAATCCACCAGGAACTGCAGACATAAGATGGAAAATCTAGCAACACTGAGAATATGGCCCAGTACCACCCAGAGCGAGTCTAAGACAAGGGTTTAGAGTCATTGAAAATGTGTTTAGAACTCATTTGTAAAAAAAGGAATGAAGTTGAGCCTGGAGACACTGACCATATGATCCAGAATCCAAAAGGGACACTGGGAATGTGACTGACAGCTTGCCAGAATGAAAGGGTCAAATTGGAGCCCGAGATTATTAAAACCATATTCTAGAATCCACCAACCAGGGTCAGAGAGCTTCGATAATGTTCTAGAATAGCCAAGAACATGGTCTAGAACCCGCAGGAAGTTATGGGCTAACACTGGGAGCCTGGAGGAATTGAGAACATGGTCTAGATATCAGTAGATTCAAACAGTTTAGACATTCAGAATATAGTCTAGAGTCCACCAGTGGGTTCACAACAAAAAATCCACTCCAGCCACTCTGGCTTGTGGACAGAAGGGCTGCCCTCTTGGTCTTAGCGTCTTCTCTTGGAGGCCATGGGAGGCCAGAGGAGGTAGGCATGCAGGTGCCTGGGGGACATGGGGTCACTTGCCTGCGTGGAGCCATAGCCACCTCCGTAGTATCTCTGCTCATTGAGCCAGTTCACGACGGGACGTACAGAGTCAAAGTCTTTGAGCAACAACAGGGCCAAGAGGGCATAGGATGTGGCCTCCACGCTGTAGAGCTTCTTGCCAGGCTCTTCCCACCTTGTTCTTTCTGTAGAGAGAACCCCCAATCCCATGCTCACTGCACTGTCCACACTGGAGATGCCTCAGAGAAAACTCAGAAAATGACTCATTATAGATTTCTTGGTGTTCAGGTGTCCTGAGTGACATCCAAGGCCCTCACTCTGCCGGCTCCTGACTCACTCTCTTCTTTCAGTAACTGTCACTCCTCCATTTCAATTCTCATTTCCCACTGATCTACAGGAGATTCCCTAAAGTTTCCATGCTCATTCTTACTTCCTGGGCCTTTTCGTATTCTGTACCCTCTACTTGGAGCACCTTTTCTCATCTATTCCTGGTTAATCCCATCCTGCACAATTCAGCTTCAATGGCACCCCAAGAGTGGGCGAGGCCCTCCCTCTATCTCTCAAAACATCCTGTGCTGTCCTGTGCCAGCACTATGATGCTCTATAGTAACCTATTAACTCATTTCTTTCCTCAACTAGAGCGTGAGCCATGATGGCAGGGACTCTGCTATGGTCACTGTGATGTCCCCAGTGCCCAAGAAGGCACTTGTGACAGAGCTAGATTGTCACTAAAAAGCATTTCCTCCTCTGGGGAACCTGGATGGTTCAGTCGGTTGAGTGTCCGACTTTGGCTCAGGTCATGATCTCAAGGTTCATGAGATTGAGCCCCACGTCAGGCTGTCTGCTGTCAGCACAGAGCCAGCTTTGGATCCTCTGTCTTCCACTCTCTCTGCCCCTCCCATGCTTGTGCTCTCTCCTTCAAAAATAAACAAACATTTAAAAAAAAAAACAAACGTTCCTTCATTGCCTAGGCAGAGTTGGAATACATTGCCCACATGTCTTTGCAGGCAGGTATATCTACATGACTGAGCTCTGGATGATGGAATGGACACTGGCAATGTTAGGGGGCGCTTCCATGTCTGGTCTACCTCCCTTGCACAATCCACCTGACTGTTTCCCCTTCTGCTTAGATGCAGTGGATCCCAAGGACCCCGGGGTGGCAGAGCCATGAAAAGATAGAGGCCGGGATCCCTGCATGAGCGTCTGGAGGAGAGCTGCCCACCAATAACAAACTTCTATTGTGCAAAACTACCTCAGCCTATGTGTTACTTGACATATGTCACATCAGTGAGTGTTGCAAAACTGATGCAGTGTATTCACCTTAGCCAATGAATAAGTGCTCACTATGTGCTAGGTACTGTGTTAAATTCCCTATGGCATTATCTTATCTAATCCTAATTACCCTTGAGATAACGATGATAACATCAGTGATAGAGCTCTCACTCTATTCTAGACCTTCTGCTTATATTACTCCTTCAATCTTCTCAACCACCTATGATGTAAATATCATCTTCAGATGGGGTCCAGGGAAGGTCAGTGATACAAAGGCACACAGTGAGAATGTGGCAGAGGGGGATTTGAAAATGGGTCTGTCTGACATCAGAGCACACGTCCTTGCCACTTGTCTCACAGCAAGTGCTCAAAACACTGTTGTTGAATGAATGATGCTACCTTCTTGTGTAGCTTACAGTGAGGACTTCTCACATCTTAGAGCCATTTGCCAAGCAGGGCTTAGCACTATCCACTCCTGCTCAACTTGAAGCTGCCCATCCCAGGGTAACTAAGAGCCACACATTCCAGCTCAAGATGACCACCCCCAAACCCTGGCCATGCATTCCTCTTTATTTCACCAGCCTGTCCCTCACCTTTGGCTGTGCTCAGAAATTTTTCGAGGAGGTCATTCTCCAGCTTGCCTGACTGGGCCAGGGCATAGCCAGCAATGGCCACAGAATATGGTCTCCGCAGGTTCTTATAGTGGGCTTCAAGATAATCTCCTGCCTTACTGATGCTGTGCTCCAGGCTCTGTAAGAAAGAAGATTGGGTTCTCTGGTAAGGTGGATATTGCTGCCACAGAGAGCTGGTAAGGATCAAATAAATGCCACTTCCTAGGTACCAGGATCGTTTTTGTCCTTGGGATATATTTGTTTTGGATCTTTTATTTTTTTTAATTTTTTAATGTTTTATTTATTTATGAGAGAGACAGAGCGTGAGCAGGGGAGGGTCAGGGAGAGAGAGACACACAGAATCAGAAACAGGCTCCAGGCTCTGAGCTAGCTGTTAGCACAGAGCCCGATGCGGGGCTTGAACCCACAAACCATGCGATCATGACCCGAGGTGAAGTCGGACGCTTAACTGACTGAGCCACCCAGGCACCCCTTGGATCTTTTATTTCTTTTGGATTTTCCAGACATTTTAGACACTGTGAATTTGATATGCCTGCGACAGTTTATATAGCCAGTGGTGGTTTGGTAACAGTTTAAGCAGCTCTCCACGGTGTATGGGGGCAGAAGTCTGGCTTATTGACTGCCAATTACTATGGTATAAATGCTCCCACTATGACCAATTTCAAACTACCAATGTAATGGCCCTGAACATGGAGTGGAGTACAGATGTCGCAGATAGGCACTCATGAGCTAGTATGAACCAGCTTCAGGACCCCACTAGGAATACCGTTTAACTGATCATCAGTTTTATAACTAACACTTACTATATGGCAGTTACACAGGTAATCAATGAACTTTGGATGCTATAGGGTTGGCATTAATTTCTCAACATCTCCACTGCATGCTGGCAATATTGAGACCCAGAAGAATGAGGGATGGAGGAAGACATAATATATAGTGGGTTTTTTTTTTAATGTTTTATTTATTTCTAGGAGAGAGAGAGAGAGACAGCGTGAGCAGGGGAGGATCAGAGAGAGAGGGAGTCACAGACTGAAACAGGCTCCAGGCTCTGAGCCGGCAGTCAGCACAGAGCCCGACGCGGGGCTCGAACCCACGAACCGCGAGATCATGACCTAAGCGAAAGTCGGACGCTTAACCGACTAAGGCACCCAGGCGCCCCATAATATGTAGTGTTTAAGAAATTTCTTGGTGTAGGGGCGCCTGGGTGGCTTACTCAGTTAAGCGTCCGACTTTCGCTTAGGTCATGATCTCGCGGTTCGTGGGTTCGAGCCCCGCGTCGGGCTCTGTGCTGACTGCCGGCTCAGAGCCTGGAGCCTGTTTCAGTCTGTGACTCCCTCTCTCTCTGATCCTCCCCTGCTCACGCTGTCTCTCTCTCTCTCTCCTAGAAATAAATAAAAATATAAAAAAAAAAAAAAAAAGAAATTTCTTGGTGTAACAATTACCATGGCAATTTCAAACTACCCCTATGGAGACACTGAATGCACAGTTGGGAGGAGGTGGACAGTAGCAGAGAATTAGACAGCATTTCCACCATATAAGTACATAAATAACCTTGAGATGGATAGATGTCATAGATAATGAAGGAAAGTAATAAAACGATTAGGAATTGATGAGTTTTGACTGTTACCTTTGGTTTTAATGTTTAATGCTTAGTCTAATGTAAGTTTCCATAATTTAACAGAAAAGAATGATTGTGTTTAATCACTAGCTTCTGAACATCTGGGAAATTTAACAGTTGGCTTTCACAGACTGACCCCTGTGAAAGCACACTCTTTTTTTTTATGTTTTATTTGTTTCTGAGAGAGAGAGAGAGAAGAGAGAGAGAGAGAGCAAGCAGGGGAGGGTCAGAGAGAGAGGGAGATACAGGATCTGAAGGAGGCTCCAGGCTCTGAGCTGCAGAACAGAGTCCGACGGAGGGCTTGAACCCACGAACTGTGAGATCATGACCTGAGTCGAAGTCTGACGCTTAACCGATTGAGCCACCCAGGTGCCCCACCCCCACCCCCACCCCCACCACACTCTTGATCTGTGTCCCAGCATTCTGGTTCTACAGCCTATGCTGTACTCAGGTATAGTGTTGCCATTTTGTAGAAGAAAATGTAGTTGTTGCCTTGTAGCAGAAACTAATACTTTCACCATCCAGCTGCCTGTCCTCCATCTACCCATGACTTATGCAGAAACTTGTCTTTCATTCACCTGGACACAGAGGAGTCAACCATATTTGTCCAGAAAGAGCTACTTCTGGGCCTTAGCTGATTGGCCCAGGTATGATCACCAGACCCTGGGTGGGCCAATCAGAATCCTTCCACCCACAGGAATCTAAAAGCTCTAGCTTTGGTATGGCTATTTCCCCAAGGAAGGCAGCCAAGTTCTGCCAGGCAGGCTGGGTGGCAGGGGAAGAGGAATTATTGGACCCAGAACAGCCTGGGTCCCTATAAGGCCCTAAAGGTAACAGCCTGCTCCCATCTAACGCGAGTCCAATGAAGGGAGAGGCAGCTGGCTGAAGGTAAGACCCCAAGGTCCCCAACTTTGCAAGCTAAAGGTCAAACAAACCATTCTCAAACCCCAGGAAGAAGCAGAGGGAGCAAGTACAGTGACTTTCAGGAGCCCGTCTTTCTAAGCTTCTCTGCCTCAGAACCAAAACCAGCGGAAAAAGAGACAGCCATGAGAGAGACAATATTTGTAATCATTTCCTTTTTGGTGTCATGGACCCCTTGGAAATGTTCCTAAGATCTCCCGAACTAAGAAAATAGTCTTGATGTGTTCTTGGGTCTGGGTTGTGCCTTTTCTTCAGGGAAGCAGCAAGGTACAATGCACTGATCAAGTAGCAGTGATGGGGAAAGCAGGGTGAGATGCTTTTGTTGAAACTGGCCAAAAGTCTCTGCACACGGCAAAGCAGGCAGAAAGGACCCATTCTTAGATCTCCTTGTGTCTCAGTTTTCTCTTGTGTAACTTGGGGGGATAATAAGAGTCCCTACCTCTTGGGTTCTTACAAGGATTATAGGACTCAACAGGTGCAGCTCTTAGAAGAGCTATCTTAGCTAACTGCTCAAAAAATGCTGGGAATTACTATGGTATTCTGGGTATTATGGCCGCTGTGGTGGCTTTTATTGCACTGGGAGGACTGGGAATCACCTGAATGCAACACCTCACCCTCTAAGATGGGTGTGCCTGGGTAGGGGAGGAGGGAAGGAGAGGATGGCGGACACTTACGTTGACCTGATCGTTGCAAAAATCTTTAGCCTCTTGCAGCGCAATGAGAACAAAAGCTGTGAGGGACACATCCTTCTCCACATTCTCCCGGAATCCACCCTAGAACAGGAAGCAGGATACAAGGATAGTATCACCAGTGTGTCCCCCATTGCTGACCAGTCCCCCTGTAGGTCAGCAGGTCAAGGCAGGGGCAAGTCTCTCCTCAGTGTCTCCCTAGGTGGGCCCCACTCTTCAGTATTCATTCATTCAACAATCGTTGCTGGTGCTGTGGACAAGATGGTGGGTGAGAACCAGACACCAGTCCCACCCCCACAGTGCTCCCCATCTAGGGAGCCAGACATGAACCAGTTGGTTCACCAGTAGGCACATCATTACAAATTGCTCACCAGTAGGCACATCATTACAAATTGTTGAGTGCTGTGCAGGAGGAGTAGTGGATGTGGCCGTGAGAATGGACAGTAGAGTGTGACTCAGTTGGGGAGGTCTGGAAAGATTCCCTAGGGGATGATAGGGGGTGTCATGCCAGGCAATGAGAACCCATGTGCAAAGGCCCTATGGCGAGATAGAGCATGGCTCCTTGCAGTAAAGATGGTGTGTCGATGAGGGTAGGAGAAGCCTGAGAGGTCAGGCTAAGGCAGGGATTCTCCACCTTATGCATGCATCAGCATCACATCGTGGGGGGAGGGGAGCTTGTAGCTACTGTGATTCCTAGGCACCATCTCTGAAGATTCTGATTCCTTGCATCAAGAGACCGGCTTGAGAACATGCATTTCTAACAAGTTTGAAGGTGATACTGATGCTGCTGGCCTGGGGACCACATTTGGAAAACAATAGCTGTGAGGGACTTCGGTTTTACACTAGCCTCTGAAGGTCTCTGGTCTCTGCAATGGGAAAGTGACACTCACAGAGTAAGGGGTAGCCTTTCTCCTGTCTATCCTGTAACTCCAGGCACCCCTCCCCCAGCCTGCCCATATTTCCTGCCTCTTACAGTCATTTCTTGGTGAATTACGGGCCCATCTTCCTGGAAGACCCCGTCAGGCTTCTGCTTCTCCAGGATCAGCCATTTGACAGCCCCGCAGAGGACCTGGGAGTTGATGGCAATGAGGTTGGCGGCCAGAGAGAAGACCTTGACCACGTAGGCTGTCAGCCTGTGGGCGGGCACAAAGCGTGAGCCAATCTCCTCCGGGATCCAGAGACGGGCATTCCAGTCAACCAATGATCACGGGCGGGGCGGGGCCTAGAAGGTTCACCCAGCTCCCCCACCCCAGTCAGGTCCCAGCCTCGCCACAGGGGGCGCTTAATGTCTGCTGGCCACTTGGCAGCTCAGGGTGGGCGCCTTGTCTCTGCAGGCCGAGGGTCCAGAGCACAGGGCTGTTTGGACGAGACCCTCTGGGACCGCCCCAGGCCGCTCTGTTTGTGGGGTGCCAGAACCGCTCACCAGGTGCTGGGCTTCCGGTTCAGGAAGGCCGAGAAAGCCGCGTTGTCTTGTCTGAAGGCCAGCTGCTGGGAGTACCCTGCGGGGAGACAGAGGTCTCCAGATGAGCGGGGCTAAGCCGAGGGGGTGGGCCAGCCGGGGGGGGCTTTGGGGCTCAGGGGGCAAGGACGCTCTGAGGGGTGAGACAGGGGTCCAGAGAGGAAAGGGGGGACTCAGGGTGGCCCAGGGAAATCTGGTGGGGGAGGGGAGGGACTTCTAGAAGGGGAAGGAGTTCTCAGAGGCAAGGGGTTCAGAGAGGGGAAGGTTCTCACGGGGGTTCAGGGCCACAGTGACAGATGGAGTCCTGGAGGCCTCAGAGGGGCCAGGGTCTCAGGGAGGGCAAAGTAGTGGGAGGTCTTTGAGAAGAGGGTTCCAGAAAGGGGAGGTGCTTAGGGGAAGGGCGTGGCCTGGATGGGGCCTGGGCTCAGGGAGGACCCTGCTCTGGGAGGTTGCGTGAGCATGGCGGCTCTCCCACGTGGGCGCACCCTTTTCGATGAGCTTCAAGGATTCCTGCCTCTTCTCCAGGCCGAACTTCTCCCACTGCCCGGTTTGGTCCAGGTAATGCACGGCGATGACGGTGGGTGTCATTCCTATCATGTTCTGCTCCCCGCAGCCCGATGGGGTCACGATGAGGTGCTTCAGCCGTTCCGGGTCAATGGCGTCCTCTGCCAACTGAGCCACCGGGGTCCCTGCCACCAGGAGGGAAGACCGCACTCAAGCAACTGACCCACCGTGGGGTGGGGTCAGGAGGGTCACAGCTGTCCCCAGCGACCCCGCGCTCCAAGCAACCAGTGCCAAAGAGGGGCAGTTGGGGGCTGAGGGGATGTGATGGAAGGGGAGCATCACGTTGAGTGTAAGAGGCGGGGGGGGAGGGGAGATAGGGCAGTGTGTCTACCTTAGTAGGAAAGGGGGTCTTATGCTTCACAGAACTCTGGCCCCTAGGCTCTTGTTACACTAGCGGCAAATGAATTCCAGAAACAATCCTCACGAATACGTAGATCATACTTCAGGCTATTGCCAGGCGCTGTTCTAGAGAACAGCATACAGTATCTCATGTAATCCTCTCAACGCCCCTTAGACATAGGTACTATTATTCACCCATCACAGATGAGGAAACCAAGGGTCCCTCCCCAGAACCTTACAGCTTCCAGGTCACATTGCCTTTCCAGGAACTTCTTTTCCCTTCTTGCACCAGTCTTCCAACCTAGGCAATGAGTTCCCGAATTTCCTGCTCTTGAACTGTACTGTTTCTCACTTAAACTTCTCTCTCAGCAAAAACTGTTTGCTGAACTAAATAGTGCCTGGAGCCTTCGATAAAACAGATCAAGGAGGGGGCTGGCTGCCCTAGTTGTAGTGGCGGCAGGGGAGGTACAGTAGTAAATATGCCTAGTCCCCTTCTCCAGGGCGGTGCCTTCCTGGGTGAGGGGCGGGGGGCACACCTTGCAGAAGGATCTTCGTCTCTGAATCTGTGTCTGGGACTTGGTCACTGAGGTCGGCGGCGTGGATCTCCTCTCGCTGTACTCCGTCTGCCAGTGGAATGCGAGAGACCCATGACACCATCCTTCCCCACAAGGCCCCCCTCACCCCCACCCCACGCCCGGGTCTCAACCCTCCTGCTGTGGATGACTCACTGTGGCCCTTGTTTTGTGGATCCAGTGTCTGAACAGCCACAGTTTTGGTGACTCTGATTCCTTCCGGCTGAACAGTGTTGGGATGGGATGGGGGAGGTGGAGGTCAGGTGAGTAAAAGAATAGACACAGCTGGTCAGCAGGGCATGGGCACAATGGCATCGCCCATCCTAGCTCTGTGATGTGAGTCAGTTTAACTACCCCCCGCCCTGCCCAGATTCTTAAAAGTCTGTAAAATAAAAGAATGTGCATAAAGTACTGAGTAAAATGCCTCACACATAGTAAGTGCTCACCTAAACTAGGGGCTATCTCAGTATCAATGTCCCAAACTAAGCTCTCCTTCCATGGTGGACCGCTGCCGTTTATGCCTTTCCATCACCCATTCTCCTTTAGTGTGATATTAATGCAAACATTTTCCTTTGGAGACCGAGTCTCCTCCAAGGCATGCTGGTAAATATTTGACATCAGCTCTCCAGGAAGAAAAGAACCTGATTTGAATCACTGGCATTTCTCGTCCTGTGAATATCCCTGCTATGGCAGATTTCAAGCTTTCAGCATGAGAGAGTGCAGAGTTGGGAAGTTATGGACACACAGGCTCTGGGGTGCGCCATGCCATCTCCAGCGCCATACTCAGGTTTCTTCCCATTGGTGCCACACTGAGCCATATTGGGACCCCCGATAAAAGGAATAATTAAGATTGTCCTCTCAGGGGCACCTGTCTGTCTCGGTGGAAGAGCATGTGACCCCTGATCTTGGGGTTGTTGAGTTTGAGTCCCGTATTGGGTGTAGAGATTACTTAAAAATAAAATCTTGGGGCCCCTGGGTAGCTCAGTTGGTTAAGCAACTGACTTCGGCTCAGGTTATGATCTCATGGTTTGAGCCTCATGTCTGGTTCTGTGATGACTGCTCAGAGCTCAGAGCCTGGATCTTGCTTCAGATTCTTTGTCTCCCTCTTTTTCTTCTCCTCTCCTCACACTCTGTCTCTGTCTCCTTCAAAAATAAATAACCAAAACACATTTTTTTAAAAAACCTAAAATATTAAAAAAATATGAGTTTGATGATGCATAGAAGCACATGTACCCCAATGTTCATAGCAGCACTCTCAACAATAGCTAAAACATGGAAAGAGCCTAAGTGTCCATCAACGGACGAATGGATCAAGAAGACGTGGTTTATCTATACCATGGAATACTACATGGCAATGAGAAACGATGTAATCTGACCATGTGTAGCAACATGAATGGACCTTGAGGGTGTTATGCTTAGCAAAATAAGTTAGGCAGAGAAGGACAAATATCTTATGTTTGCACGTATAGGAGGATTAGGAGGAACTTAACTTGAGGACCATGGGGGAGAAGAAGGGGGGAAATGGTGGGGGGAAGGGAGAGAGGCAAACCATGAGAGACTCTTGAATGCTGAGAAACAAACTGAGGACTGATGGATGTGGGGGGGGGGGGGGATGGGCATGGAGGAGGGCACTTGTGGGGATGAGCACTGGGTGTTATATGGAAACCAATTTGACAATAAACTATTTGTAAAAAAAATATATATATATGAGTTTGGATCTATTAAAGTCAGGAAGGAAAAATTATAATAAATTATGATTTGGGTATAAATAAGACATGTCACTGTAATATAACACTGCCCGTTTTAAAGCATTTGATTTTCAATGTTTGAATATTTTTTCAACAACTTTAACTTTTTTGGGGAAAATTATCAACTAAACAATGTTAATAACCATTAAAAAAAAAAACACGTAGATCAGGGTCTTCATTGTTTCTTCAGCTTCAGGCTCCAATTATGGTTTGACGTGGCATCATCTATATACAAAACTTTGATCTTTTGTTCATCATGGATTATTTGGCATTAATTTTGATTCCTTACAATATTGTATCAAAATATTTTTTGTCTTATGATCTCACATTTTGCTCGAAAATATTAATAAACCATGATATGAAGCTTTTATTTTTTTTAATTTTTGTTGCTTACTTGAACTCGTATTATTTTTGAGAATGTTCATCACTAGGAAAGAGTAGAAATGTAGCTGTTCCTCACTCACTCACCCTAATCCCGACCTTGTTTCCAAACTTGCAGGACTCCCGAATTTCCTAAGCTGGACACTGGACACTCCTGGTGTCTCAGGGTCAGGGTCTGCAGCCTGGGTTGACAGGGGGACACAGGAGCCTCTCCTGAAGGACAAGGGACTACAGGTGCCCCAAGGACTCACCACAACTCTCAAGGTCTTTTTGACACCATCCATCATGTAGCGATTGTAGACAGCAGCCTTGACCTCCACCTCATGTAGACCGACCTTCAGAGGCACGATGACAAAAGGCACAGCCACTGAGGACTTGGCTGGGATAGTCAGAGTCTGCTGGTAGCGCTTCTTGGCAGTGGCCAGGCTGCAGAAGGCTGGGTTGTAGAGCATTTCCACCCTCACCTGCCAGGGAGAGAGTATCAATCAGGGGCATGGTCTCCCCCCCGACCCCCACAACCATCCAAGCTCTCCATCATACCTCTGCCACCCTGGGAACCCACCTTGAGCTCCCCCACATCCTGATAATTGTAGAGCACAGCTCGGATCTCCACTTGCTCATTGCGCACCACAGAGTACGGCAGTCGCAGGTCGATGAAGAAGTCTTGCATCACCGTGACCTCGTAGGGGTCAGCCACACAGATCCCTGCCCAGGAGTGGAGTGTCAAGGGGAGGAGGTGGACAGGGTCTCACTGCTTACCCCTGACTGTGGGAGCTGTGTCAAGCTCAGCCTGTGTTTGTAGAAGCCCATGGGCTAAACAATTGTAAAGGTGATACATTACCGATAGCAGTGGCAGCTGGGAGTCACTGCGATGTATGATTTCCATTTTCTTCTTGTAGTTTTATTCATAGGTAGGTGTGCAGGGGGGAAGAGCTCAGGCATATTTGAAGGGTCCATACCTGTGCTCTCCAAAATGGTAGCCTGAACTCTCTCTGGTCCCTGGGCACTTGGAATGTGGCTAGCTCAGAAAACTTTTTAACATATGTTTGGAACACATTGGATATGCCAATCTACCTTTTCAATTGTACATTTTACAAATCCTAAAATACAGATAAAAATATTTCCAATGAAAGGCTAGGGGCACCTTTCCACTGACTGGCTCAGTCGGTAGAGCGTGTGACTCTTGATCTTGGGCTCATGAGTTTGAGCCCCATGTGGGGTGAAGAGATGACTTATAAATAAAAGTGAAATCGTAAAAAAATTAAAAAAAGGTTAGCACCCTCCTTGAGATGCCTGCACATATAAAATATGTGCTAGATTTCAAAGGCTTAGTACAAACAGGAGTAAAATGTATCATTCATAATTTTGAGATACTAATAGGTCACTCCTAAATATCAATAGATGATTATTATAACATTACTTTAGTGTGATGGTGGTTTTTTAACATACTTTTTAGCATATTTTTTCAATATATTTACCACATGTTACAAGAATAATAGTTTGGAGATATTTGGTTAAAGAAAATGTATGATAAAATTGATTTCACCTCCAATGGGGCTGCCAGAAGATTTAAAATGACAAACAGCTATATCATATTTCTGGTGGACAGTGCTGATCTATAGGGAGTGAAAATGATGACAAAAGCAATGGCTAATTTGCATTTCAGCAGCTATTAGGTTATATTCAAGCAAAGGGTTGATGCAAGCAAAATTTGCAAAAGCATTATCATATTAAAAATGTGACACTAAAAAAATAAATAAAAATAATGTGACACCAAGAAATGATTAAAATTTTGGGGGCCCTATCTCAGTAAGTTAAGTGTCTGACACCTGAAATCTGCTTAGGTCATGATCTCGCTCTTCTTGAGCTGGAGTCTAGTGTCAGGTTCTGAGCTGATGGCATGGAGCCTACCTGGGATTTTCTTTCTCCCTCTCTCTCTGCCCCATGCTCTCTCCCTCTCTCGCTCACTCTCTCTTTCTCTAAAATAAGTGAACATTTAAAAAATAGTTAATTAAAAAAAAATCTTAAAATTTAATATATATATATATATATTTTGCTTATTTTTCAGAGGTGAAGACAAATAGAGGCTTGAACAAAATTATTATTTCCTAACCTATGGCTATTATTAATCATTCTTGGGAGGTCTGTTATACTCATTGGGGCTATTTATCATTTCTTATCTGCTATTCATTTTTACATTTTTTTTAAAGTTGATTTTTGAGAGACAGGGAGAGACAGAATGCAAACAGGGGGCAGAGAGAGAGGGAGACACAGAATCTGAAGCAGGCTCCAGGCTCTGAGCTGTCAGCACCGAGCCCAATGTGGGGCTTGAACTCATGAAGTATGAGATCATGACCTAAGCCGAAGTTGGAAGCTTTACTGACTGAGTCACCAAGGCGCCCCAGTGGCTTCTACTTACAATGGAGATATTTTGTTCATCATGGATTTATTTTTTTTGCATTCACATTGATGTTTTCAAAATGATCCCATAAACATATTATTCATCTGGCTTAAGTTACTGCTTCCCTCTCCTCACCCTGCTTCTAGTCCTGTCTAAGAACACTCCCATTAGTCCAGGGCTCCCCAGTTCCTGTGAGGGACCCCCAGCCCCCAGGATACCTTTTTATTTTTTGCCAGGTTTCACAATCTGAACATCAATGTTCCAATCAAACATTTCATCTTGCTTCTTTTATATTTTCTTAATCAAGTTACCCATCACCCTGTCAATATCACCCCTAAGGGTGTTTATTGTTATAAATTATTCTGTATGATACTACAATGGTAGATACATGTCCTTATACCTGTGTCCAAACCTATAGATCGTGCGATGCTAAGAGTGAACCCTCATGTCAATGACGAACTTGGGGTGATGACAGGTGTGTCAGGGTAACAAGTGCACCATGCTGGTGCAGATGCTGATAGTACACGTCAGCATGGGGGAGACTGTGTACGTCGGGGGTGGGCAGACTGGACGTATGTGGGAACTCTCGTACTCTCCCCTCAATTTTGCTGTGAACCTAAAAGTGTTCTCAAAAGAAAATCTATTTACAAAAAGCACTGCCTTGTCATCCACAGAGTAGGATCTGATACCTCTCTTGTCACCTAGGAGCAGCGTGTCAGCCACCAAAACATAGGGGATCTCTCTGGATGGAATGAGAAAATGCCCAGTGGCCCTGGGTCCCTGGCCCCTAAGGATGGGGTCACCATCACTTCTTACCTTTTGTGTTCGACAGACTCACGGCCAGAATCTCCCAGGTGGTGATGGAGTCTTTCAAAAATATATTTATGGTCTTTGTGGAGATTCTGGATGGGGGAGAAGTGGGGCATCAGGAGGAGGTAGGTGTCAGGGATGTGGGGGAAGAGCTGGTGTGGAGGGGCCCCAAGGGGCAGGTTGGAGGGGGGTGGGGGCGGGGCCCATGGAAGTAGATGGACTCTTGATGTTTTTCTAGACTGGGTTGTGGGGTTGCACAGTGATTCCAGAAAAGAGGGGCATGGGGTATATGTAAATGAAGTGGTCCAGCCTGGGCTGCTATAGGAGCTGGCTTGGGGGATGGATTGAAGTGGGGGTATCTCAGCCTTACCCATCTTTCGCGGGTTCTTTGAGTTCCTCCATGCGCCACAGCCAGCTCTCAGGGAACTGGCTTCGGGAAATGATTTCCTCTTCTGGGATTATATCCTCATCCAACTCACCTGGGAGGCACAGGGTGAGAAGTGGGTAATCTGGGTTTAGAGCAGACCCCTTTCTCCACTGAACCCAGAGATACTTATCTCTACACATCTGAAGGGGTTCCCACCAGCAAAACACACCCACAGTCCATGATGGCAGGGGGAGGGGACAGGCATGTTTGCCTTATTGCTCTCCCCCCCCCAAACACTATTAAAAATGACACTTCGCAATGGTGTCAGTATAAAGGCAAAAAATAGTCCAAGCTGCATTATATCATTTCCCCCTTCTCCGATTTTCACAGGAATGAAAGCATTTGCGTGAGTCTCTGAGCATGGTGGCTCCCAGGCTCCGTGCCTGCTGCATCTGATGGTTATGGTTCCCAAGCAAACAGGTGGCTCATGAGACTCCCCAGACCTGTTGGTGACCCCTGGCCATGGGGTGGCCTTTTGAGCAGGCCTGACACCATCAGCGAGTAGATGAAGTATGGCCAGACTATGATTCAACCCTGTCTGGGCTTTCCTCAAAACAGGAGGGGCGATTGTAACATGGCTCTCGGTCTGCCTAGTAACAAAGTAGGTGAAATCCACTGAAGCCTAAATCCACCCATATTGTGGATTAATCCATCAAAGTGCCTGTGAGATACATACATGCAAATAACTCTCTGTCTCACCCCAAACTGACTAAAGAAATCATACAACACGGGACACCTGGGTGGCTCAGTCCATTGAGTGTCCGACTACTGTTCAGGTCATGATCTCACAGTTGGTGATTTGGAGCCCTGCATCAGGCTTGCTGCTGTCTGTGTGAGCCTGTTTGGGATCCTCTGTCCCTTTCCTTCTCTCTTCCCCTTCCCTGCTTGCATGTGCTGGCCCTCTCTCAAAAATAAATAAATATTAAAAAATAGATAGGAGTCAAGACGGCAGAGAAGTAGAGGGACCGGAATTTCCCTTGTCCGTCAAACATAGCTGTCCTGAGGTGAGAACACTTGGAACACCCAGCAATAGGTGTGCAGGGTGACTGAAAGGCTCTACCCCAGAACTGGGTCCACGCTATAACAGGGGTGGGCAGGGGGAATCCTTTAAGACATCAGGGTTTGCATCTCCGCTGAGGCCTAGGAGGCTCAGGAGGCTGTGGAGCAGGGGCCCCCACCCCGTGGGCAGTCTGAACAGCATGGTTTCACACAGTCAGTTGGGGGGTGGAGATAGACTGGGGTGCCGCCATTTCTCCCCAATACCAACACAGCGGGGCTTCAGGGAACAGGACACGGCTCCCGGTGGAGGCGGGACTCACTTACAGCAAACGCCACCCCTCCATGCCTGGTAACACCTTATCTGCTGGAGCAGGACTGACCGTGACCAAGACAGACACCTGTCCACACAGACACAGACAGCTGTGCTGCAGGGCTGTAGGTGAGTCTGCTTCGGTTTGTTTTTTCTTTTCCTCTTTGTTTTCCTTTCCTTCCCTTCCCTTTTCCCTTCTTTTTCTTTCTACCTTCCTCTTTTTTTCCCCTTTGGAATCAAGCTCGTAGTTTCTGATTTGATTTTTAGTCAAGTCTTATTTTATAATCTATATTATAAATATATTAAATATAAACTATATCAATATATGTTAACATATAAGTAATATTAATATATATTAATATTTTTTAATGTTTTATTTATTTCTAGGAGAGAGAGAGAGACAGAGTGAGCAGGGGAAGGCCAGAGAGAGAGTGAGTCACAGACTGAAACAGGCTCCAGGCTCTGAGCTGGCAGTCAGCATAGAGTCCGACGCGGGGCTCGAACCCACGAACCGTGAGATCATGACCTAAGCGAAAGTCGGACGCTTAACCGACTAAGCCACCCAGGCGCCCCTATATATTAATATTTTTATATTATACAACCAGAACAGAGAAAGAAAAATGTATATTTTAAATATACAATTAATAGTAATATAATGTAATATTTATATCAACATATTTTATATATAAATATTAATTACATATTTTAAATATAATATATATTTTTATTTCTTTCTCTGTTCTGGTTGTTTAATCAGGCATTTTTACTCCATTCTTTTACACCTTTTCTGTATCTCCTTCTTCATTTTCCTCGCTCTCTGTCTCTCTCTCTGGATTAAGCCTCATACTTTCTTTGATTCTCTGCCTGGTCTTTTTTTTTTTTTTTTCACCCTTTTCATTTTTCTCTTTGTATAAGGTCTCCCCACCCAACCTTACCCTTTTTCCAGGGTTACTTCAACAGACAAATCAAACCACACCTGGTGGAAGGTCCAAACCACCAGTACAAGTAAGGAGATAAAGCAACCAGAGCCACAACAACAGAATGAACACAACGCACTCCCCAAACACTTCCTGAAGTCCCAGGACCTGGACAGTGTAGGGCCTGTTCCTAATATAGTCGGATTCGCAGGTGCAGGACACATAACAAACATGTTTTAAAACATGTAAGAGGCAGAAACTTAGCCAAAATGATGAAACAGAAGATTTCTCCTCAAAAGAAATTCCAGGATGAAAATGAAAGTCAAAGAATTTCTCAAAACATATATAAACAATATATCTGAACAAGAATTTAGAATAACAGTCATAAGACTAATAGCTGGGCTTCAAAAAAAGTATAGGAGACACCAGGAAATCTATTGTTACAGAGATCAAAGGCCTATGAAATAATCACGGCAAATTAAAAAATGCTGTAAATGAGATGCAAAATAACCTAGTTGCAGTGACAGAAAGGATGTAAGAGGTAGAGGAGAGAATAGGTGAAATAGAAGATAAAATTATGGGAAATGATGAAGCTGAAAAAAAGAGGGCAAGGAAATTACCAGACCATGAGTGGGGAATTAGAGACCTAAGTGATTCCATGAAATGAAATAATAACCATATCATAGGAGTTCCAGAAGAAGAAGAGAGAGAAAAGGGCATAAGTTTTATGTGAACAAATTATAGCTGATAACTTTCCCAATCTGGGGAAGGAAACAGGCATCCAAGTGCAAGAGGCACAGAGAACTCCCTTCAAAATCAACAAAAATGACATATCATAGTGAAACTGGCAAAATACAAAGATAAAGAGAGAATTCTGAAAGCACCTAGAGACAAAGAGGCCTTAATCTACAAGGGCAGACACATAAGGTTAGCAGCAGACCTGTCCACTGAAATGTGGCAGGCCAGATGGGAGTGGCAGGAAATATTCAATGTGCTGAATAGGAACACTGTCTGCAGCCAAGAATCCTTTATCCAGCAAAGCTGTCATTCAGAATAGGAGGAGAGATAAAGGCTTTCCCAGACAAACAAAAACCAAAGGAGTTTGCAATCACTAAACCAGCCCTGCTGGACAGCCTAAGGGGTAATCTCTGAGTGGAAAAGCAGCAAAGCCTACAAAGGACCAGAGACACTACCACAAACATGAAACATGCAGATAACACAATGGCAGTAAATCCATCTCCTTCAATAATCACTCTGATTGTAAATGGACTAAATGACACAATAAAAAGACATAGGGTATTGGGGCACCTGGGTGGCTCAGTCAGTTAAGTGGCCAACTTCAGCTCAGGTCATGATCACATGATTTGTGGGTTCGAGCCCCGCATTGGGCTCTGTGTTGATGGCTAGCTCAGAGCCTGGAGCCTGTTTCAGATACTGTATCTCCCTCTCTCTCTGACCCTCTCTCTCTCTCTCTCTCTCTCAAAAATAAATAAAACATTAAAAATTAAAAAAAAAGACATAGGGTATCAGAATGGATCAAAAAAAAAAAAAAAAAGAAAAACCAAGATCCATCTATATGTTGACTATAGAGACTCATTTTAGACCTGAGGACACCTGGAGATCGAAAGTGAGGAGATGGAGAACCATCTATCATGCTATTGGACATCAAAAGAAAGTTTGAGTAGCCATACTTATATCAGACAAACTAGATTTTAAAACAAAGTCCATAACAAGAGTTGAAGAGCATTATATCTTAATTGAGGGGTCTAGCCATCAAAAAGAGTTAACAATTATAAATGTTTAAGCCCCCAATGTGGAGAACCCAAATATATAAATCAATTTATCACAAACATAAATAAATGTATAGACAATAATACTTTGATTGTAGGGGACTTTAATATTCCACTTACTGCAATGGACAGTTCATCTAGTCAGAAAATCAATAAGGAAACAACGACTCTAAATGACAGATAAACTTCACAGATACATTCAGGATTTTTCATCCAAAAGCAGCAGAATACACATTCTTCTTGAGGACACACGGAACATTCTCCAAAATAGATCACTTACTGGGACACAAATCAGCCCTCAACATTCATACCATGCATATTTTCAGATCACAGCACTATGAAAGTTGAAATCAACCACATAAAAAAATTGGAAAACCCCCAAATACATGAACATCCTACTAAAGAATGAATGGGTCATTCAGGAAATTAAAGAAGGAATTTTAAAATGTATGGAAGGAAATGAAAATGAAACCATGAAAGTCCAAACCCTTTGGGATGCAGTTCTAAGAGGATAATACATTGGATTTCAGGCCTTTATCAAGAAACATGAAAGATCCCAAATACAGAACCTAACCTCACATCTAAAGAAACTAGAAACACAGCAGGGGGGGAAAAAAAAGCCCAAAGCCAGCAGAAGAGAATAAAGATTAGAGCAGAAATAAACAATAATAGAATAGATAAATGAATCTAAGAACTGATACTTCAAAAGAGTAAATAAAATTGATAAACCCCTAGCCAGATTTCTCAATAAGAAAAGAGAGAGGACCCAAACAGATACAATCATGAATGAAAGAGGAGAAATCACAACAAACACCACAGAAATACAATTATTTGAGAATACAGTGAAAAATTATATGCCAACAAACTGGACAACCTGGAAGAAATGGACAAATTCCTAGACACCCACACACTATCAAAACTCAAAAGGAAAGAAACAGAAAATATGAACAGACCCATAACCAGTGAAGAAATTAAATTGGTTATCAAAAATCTCCCAACAAATAAGAGTCCTGGGCCAGATGGCTTCCTGGGTGAA